AATCCACAGCAAGAACAATCATAAAAGAAAAAGAATTCTCGATGCGGTGAAAAATGCTCAATCCTTGAACTCAAACAATTTATAAACGTCATGGTATTATTGCTGAGATGGAAACAATGCTGAAATTATGGTTTAATAATCAAGTAAAAGTGAAGAATTGTTCAGTCGATCAGAACAAAGTGTGCAATCAAGCTAAGCTGATTTTTGATAGTTGAAAGAAGCTGGGGAGGCGGGCGAAGATGAAAACTGTGTAGCTAGTAACGGTTGGTTCAACCGATTTAAAACTCGTTGTAATTGGTAGAGCATCGCGGAGAGTGGAGCGTGTCAAGTGCCGATAATGAAGCTGCGTCTTCTTTTCCTGAGACACTCAAGGTTATGATAGAAGAAGGTGGCTATGGCAGTGAAGCCGTATTTAACGTACATGAGACTGGCCTGTTCTGGAAGTAGATGACTATAAGAATTTTTATCGCACGTGAAGAAGAAAACTTTTCCACGCTTTAAGGTTTCTGAAGTCCGATTGACTGTGATAGATGGAGGGAATGCAGCTGGTGAGTGCAAGTTAAAACCTCTCTTAATCTACCGCTCCGAAAACCCGAGAGCCTTAAAAATATATCTAAGATTAACTTACCAGTGATCTGGAAATCATCGACAGCTTCCGTTTTTAGGACTGGTTTGGTCACCACTTCATACCCGAAGTCGAACGTTATTGCAAGTCTAAACAGATTCCATTTAAAGTGATGCTTCTTATTGACAATGCACCCGGTCACCCTCCTGCCACTCTAATTACTTTCGACCCACGTGTGAAAATTGTTTTCTTGCTTCCAAACACAACCAGCTTGCTTCAACCGATGGAACAGGGATTCATCAATACATTCAAGATACGTTCGTTTGCACATTTGAATGAAGCTATGAGGCAAAACAGTGAGACGTCTGCTAAAGACTTTTCGAAACAGTTCAAAGTTTAATATGCCGTAAGAATTATTGAAAAAATCTTGGAACGAAATTTCAAAAAAAAAACACTGAATGGTGTCTGGAAGAAACTTTGTCCATCTTTTTCAAAAACGAGACGGAAGCAACACTAGAAACTGATCGTGTCGCTCATGTGATAGAAGTTGCTAATCTTGCCAGGCAATTAGATTTGCAAGTCAATGGTGATTATATCAACGAGCTGTTGGATTCACATAGCAAGGAGCTGAAAATTAATGAGTTCATAGAGATGCGTGGGCAAAACGTCAAAGAAGTATCCGACACTTCAGATCCAGTTCCACCAGAAAAGCACATGACATTGCAAGCTTGACAGAAGGTTTCAGCTTAGCTGTAAAGGGCTTAAACATTCTAGAAAACATAGACTTTACCGAAGAACGTGTTACAGCTACAAAGCAAGGAACAAAAACATTATTAGCTTGTCGCAAAGAAATTCTGCGTGAAAAAAAGAAGGCATTGTGCCGTCAGATGAATTTTATTTTTTATGAAATCACAGACATCGAAATAACATTTTTACGTAATCCATTTACTTTTTTAATGTTTTGTATTAATATGCATAAAGAGCTGCAATTTTATCAAATATTCTTCTTCTAAACTAGTGTTTTTTAGTCCCTGGTTCTAATTAAGCAGAATTTATACGTATTTGTATACAAATTTGTACCCTGACTTACGCGAATTTCGTCGGACCCACCTATCGCGTAACTTCGGGAATTTGTTTGTGATAAGGTATGTACATTTAAAGTGTCTTTTAATTATACGCTTAAGAAAAATACAAATCTTTCTTCGGGAGATCAAAATCAAGTTAATCAGCTGTGAGGACCTAAAATGGAAGTTTGTTAAGAGCTGTTGTTATTTTTACAATATTCGTCATTTGCAGTCCGTAACAATGCTAATTTCTCTGTTCAGATACTAAATTTGTCTTTGTACCATATGCTCCTCCTCGGTGCTGCAGAATCTTTAAAGTGCGACACACAACGGACGGGACACAGACATATGTTACTACAACGTTTAGAGAAATACCCACAATATCAAACAGCTCTATTCGTCCTTCGGTTTCATTTCCGCCTTCACTTTACCACATAGCACAACGCCATATAGAGGAGAACCGTTATAATGCCATTTACCTCTTGGCTAGTTGAATCATGAGCTGTTGCTCATGCAGACAATCTATTTCTTTCGTACACGTCATTTTTCATCATTGACGAATACCGCAGTTCAGCGTCACATCAGAATGTCTCTGATACAGGAACCGGCCGGAGATTGTTAGCAAACTGGACGCAAAATTTGGTCACAAGATTTTACTTTATGCAAGCACAGTGCACATACGAATGGCAATAACTGCCTACAGGCGATATCAATATCTCTGTTTCGAAGCTGACTGGTCCTTTTATACGCTTACAGATTCTGCAAATCATAGGGGACCAATTCGCGTTGACCTGCTGGCTGTACTTTCAGTGCAAACTATGCTTTGGCCTTGCGAACTGCGGAAGGCGAACATTTTCTCTTTTGTTCAGCCCTTGTTTTAGGCCCTTTGTGGGAGGCAAAACCTTGCCTTTTGCTCGAACCCACTTCTAAGGTGGTGTGCGGAGGGTCGTGTCCAACTGACAACACTTCGTCACAGCCAGTCGTCGCTGAAAGTTGCCCTCAGCCCAACTACACGATTGCTAAAACGAGCAACATGTGTTGTTTCAAAGATGTAGTCCACTGCCTGCGGCGTATGATGGACCCTGGTCAACGGTCGCGGTGCATATCTGCTTTTCGTTCTTCAGGACATCTGCTCGACTCAGTTTCCAGTTTTTGTTGTGGGGTAACAAAACGGTTCAGATGAGAAACATACGCTGACAAAATATGCCATTTTCGTTTGATTCGGTTGGCTAGAATATCTTCGACCTTGCATACAACTGGCCCCAGTTATTTCTGCACTTGAAACGCGCTAACGTACTTCCTGGGCAGAATTTTTGCCGCCAACCCTTTATTTCTGATGTAACGATCCACCAGTACCAGAATATCTATTCCAGTATCATTTTTGGTGGCGATGACGATCGTAAATCGCTTTTAAAGTCGTTGAGAAGTTTAAATGCGCTGCTTCACTTCCAGTCAGGTGTTCAACAGGTTTCTTAACGCAGCGCCAGGGTCCGTTACTTCGTCTAATGGCCAGGGAAGCCGTGCATCTGCTGACGTCCGTGACATCTGCCCGTTTCAGGGCAAACGTTACGAATGGCATTGTCTCGTCCCAGTTTCGCCGATCTGCATTAACATATGCTGTCAGCATATCTGCCATGGTTCAGTTGGCGTTCTCACATAAACCGTTAGTTCTACGGTGAGCAGCGGAAATAAATGGGCTCTTTATACCAAACAGGTCTAGAACTTCTTTCAGGATTTTGTGGCAAATCATGGTCCTTGATCACTAATAATCTTTTCGGCACGCTATGTTTCAAGATAATCTCTTCCATAATTAACTTTTTCAGATTGGCGCTGCCGGTATCAGATACAGATTACGTAACTACCTGCCCTGTTAGATAATCGATTGCCTGCTGCTGTCAAAAGAAACGTCTCAGATGATCTACTCCACATAGCAAAAACAGTCTATCTGGTGCAACTATCAGCTGCAGCACTCCACTCTTCCTTTCTCTTGGCATTTTCTTCATTTGGCAGTACACAAAACGTCGTATATACTGTCACATAGATCGCGACAGGTTTGACCACCAGAAACGCTACCAGCCCAAAATTCAGTTTTGTCTCGTTCGCCACGTCCGCTCATTGAGTGACGGCATGACAGGCTGACACTGCCTCCCAATGCAGCACTGTAAGAACTGCTAATAATTACTTACGACTTGAACCGGTGCTTGTTCGAAACAGTACCCAATCATGCAAACAGAAATCGTTTTACTTCGGCTAGCATTTCTGTGACTCTTGCTGCGATGCCAGAACAAAAGAAGCTAAAATGGGGTCTCCTTTTTGCCACAGCGCCAGTTCAGATCGCCTTGCTGATGCCAGAATTAGTACCATCAACATGGAGTCAACGTCATCTGCACTGACTTGTTCAGGGCATCCCACTGCAACGCTCGAAAGGCCGTCGGCTACCCCTGCTAGAAAACTGTGTTGTGGCTCTTTAACGCAACCAGTGCTCGCTTCTGCCTGTATATAATAATCCTTTCTTCCTGAATTGACAGCTCTGATGCTTTTGCCGGCCTCTTGCCTTTCGCAAAGCATAACGGCTCCTACTCTAAATTCGTGACGAACGTATACAACCCCCTTGGTATCGTCCATTCCTGTTTGACCTGCGAGCTGTAAACGTTTTCTAGAAGTACCGTCCCATCGACCGCACACTGTTGTTGCCCTGGCACAAAACTCGTTGTCCTCCAGCCATCGTTGTGCTTTCTTTCACTACCACCGCTTCAATGACTCCGGTTCGTGCTCCGTCACTGGCCACTGCTCCTGGTCTTCCTCAAGATCTGAATCATGCCATCCATCTACTGAAACCGTATGTTATAACAGTACGTCTTCTTTGCTGCTTGGGTCGATCTCCACACTGAACGGCTC